ATTCATGGAAAGTTAACTTCCGGCGGCCACTTACAGGCTCTTCCTCGCTGGCGCAGTTCTTGCACATGCCTACCATGAGCCCTTTTTTCGATCCCTTGAGCAGGGCGAGAGGTACTTTTCAGAGCCCTCGACTCGCGAGTCCCGGGATCGGGACAATGACTATCTCGGCACCTTTGCTGTCTATAATCACGAGCTTCTGGGCGACAAGAACGCAGAAGCCTTTGGACCCCTTTCTAGCTGGCTCGTAGAGACTGCGAGGACAGAAGCGTCTGGTCGAGGTTTCATCCCGTACTGGAAGAGGCCAGCCTACCTGGCAGAGAGATCCGAGGAAGAGGAGGAGGAAGAGGACGACGATGGCGAAGGACGTGACGGTCCCTTGACCGACCAGGACGTTTTCCCCCTCTGGGAGCTTATGCGCATGTGGACAGCTCATGAGCTCTCACAGATCCGACTCGACTGGGTCAGGGGCACCAATCATCATTCGCCGCACTCGGAATGGATGAAGCATCTGGAGCCCTCTCAGGTACGGATGACCTCGGTCGTTCTATTCGGCGCCTTTCAGCTTACCGAGTTGACCATGCCTGCTCGAGTCAAGGACACAGAATACACAGCACTCATCGCGACCCCTGTGACTCCATCGAACGCAGGAGATCGCAGCACCAACCCCACGACCTCTGTGCACGTACTTGACGGTCCGCTGCAGCCGTACTCGTGGAATGTGCAAGAACAACTGGCCTGGATGCCCCTTCCCTCGGACCGTAGTGAGCAGGATCCTGGCCCCGGGCTCGGTTGTAAGTTTTTCAGCTACATTTTCGAAGCGTACTGGAGCAGAAGATTCACGAACATGGATACGTATTGGGCCAGTGCGCCGATTCACGAGTTCGTCGCCGGAGCAGAAGCTTTCCCCGAGGGCGATGACGGGCGGGAGAATTATGGCTTCGGTTTTCTTGAGCGGATTTAGGATCCTGCCTACATCAGATTAGCCTATTCGTTTGGTCTACATCACTACCTTGTACCTGCACCACCCAAGGGTTCCTCTTCCATCAGTTCATGTCCCCTCCCTTAACCCCTGTTCCCGGCACGGCACGACGTGGGGGCTGCAACGTGCATCGACCAGCTCCGCAAAGCTTACATTGCTTGACGAGCAGGGATTAGGGGCCACAGAAGACTTGACCTCGACCCTATGCGCCCTCGGTCTAACCATCCCGGTCACAATCTTTGCAAGAAGTCTTGTCACAAGGGCGGCCCGCTACCCCAGGGCGTCTCACAGCTCTCGCAGGAAAGACTGCGCAGCACAAGAGCGTCCGTCATCATGGCCAAGCACAGGAGACGGCCCCATACAACCGCAGGCACCTCGGCAACGCAGGGCTGCTCTTCTCTGATAGATCTATGGCTCGCCCCTTGATCTGACCTCCGTCACCGAGGTTGACAAGAGCGGCTGCAGACACTCTCGTCTTCCCCTTCGCTCTCCATCACTTCATCGTCCAACGTACGAATCGTCTCTATTGCCCATCAGATTCCCGTCGGATTCATCATGTTGCTTTGGTCGTCGCTGCTCCTTTGCTGGGCTGCCGTCGTCATGGCACAAGGCTGGCCAGGCCCCAGATCTGTCTCAGGTACGACCTACTCGGCGAGACAGACCGAGGGAGGCACAAAGGACTACGTCTACAATGGTAAGTTCTCTAGTGCAGACTTTTGGAACTCCTTCTAGTTGGTGATGGGACGTCAACATGACAATGCAGTATACTAACGCTGGTTGTAGTGCGCGACTATGGCACCCTCCGACCGAAACTAGTGTACAACTGTAACCTTGTGCCTGCTCTTTGCAAGAATGCCAGAAATTATCTGGGAGGCGGAACAACGTCACAGTTCCACTTCGACGCCTTCCGTGTGCAGAAAAAGCGCGACGCTGGTCGCAACGCAAAGAAGTCGCGTGTGGATGCGCGTCGCGACGAGAGCTGCCCTACCAGCTGGATCAATAATGGCAGGTGCCCTGAGGGTGATCAGCCTGACTGGACCTGGAAGAGCGGTGGGCAGATCAACCCATTTGTGAAAGCACAGATGCACGTCGAGGATGGGGTTCAGCACAGAAACCGACTTGCCAAAGTGGAGGAAGTTCGAGTGGCCGATACTAATGAACCACTGGGTTACAGAGTCGAGACCCAGTCTACCCCCTACGGAGCCATTCTGTCCTGTGATGAGTTTCCAGCGGCAAGCTGGATTGAAGGAGGCAACGGAGCCAGCACATACTGTTCGTGAAGCACCTCTCTTCTCATTTTCATTCGAGCTGCACATGCGTGAAAACCCATACTAGAAAGGCTGACAAGAGAAAGGTGCACCGATCTCTGCGGGCTGCGCTGCCTCGGCGTCCACTGCAACAGAGCAGGACTGGCAAGGCGACGGCCACAACGCACTTGGCCGCTGGTTCACTGCCATGGCACAGGGCAAATTGACGCCCTTTTCGCCCAAGCCGGATTACACGATATTCAAGTTTGACTATCTGGCAGACACCACCCAGGGCGCCACGGTCGGCGATGCTGTATGGGTCGAGGTCCGCGGGAAGAAGCGCTACTGCTTTGGGCCGAAGCCATCAACTGGAAGCGATTGCCAGCCGACTTACCCCGATGACCCGGCACCTGTGAACCCCTGAAGTAATCAAAGACTTGGAACCCCGAGTGTTAGCAGACTGGGCTCCCTGTTATGGCTCATGTTCTTGTTGTTTTTGGGCTGTACTTTGTTCCTGGATGGATCATGGGTTCTGCAGCCAACAAACATGAACGGCTCGAGTTTGTTCGTTCTCGCACTAGATCAAATGAATTACACTACTACAACCGATGGGCTTCTGGGATTCGCCCGGCCAAAAACATGGGAATTGTGCTTCGTGCTCGTAGAGTGACCAGCTGGCGTCCTGTCAGCCCTGGACGTGGAGCCTTCACGTGCTCGTGCCAGTCGTTCAGAGCTCGGTAGGGAGATGGAGTGAGCTAGATTCAGGGATGATCTCGTTTCCTCACGGGGATGCGGCACGACGGGGAGACTAGCATGGATCGCTAGTGGGCCGACTCAAGGGTCCAGGGGTCCAGGGGTCCAGGGGTCCAGGGGTCCAGGGCCGAGGGTCCAAGGGGTAAGGGTCCTGGACTAAGGCAGCGCCGTTCACGCAGTCCACGATGTCATGGTCGGCTGCAGCCGTCTCATGCCACCTGCCTTTCCGAGCTCGAACTATAGATCCGAGGAACTGTGCCGCACGGGAGAAGAAACTGCTCTCGTCAGCGCGAAATACCTCACTTGAGCCAGGCCTTCGGCCTTACAGGGCCAGATTACCCCGACCCCCTGCGTGGAATATCGGCGTGGGGTAGAGAGCAGTAGGTGCCATTGGTGGGGTTTCCATGGGATATACGCATATGGTAGCGTCGGCCACTCGACACGTTCGGTCACGTCGTGAACCGCCTTGCTGGTCAACGGTGCGCTTCTTTCTGGGGGCACACCCGCTGATCCGAGCTCTGAGATGCAGCATGCAATGACCGAGGAGAACTGCAGCTTCAGAGCCCCTGTCATTCTGCACGGCACCGGGCTCAGAATGCAGTGTCAGCTGGCTGGGCGCGTCGAACAACCGAGACATATTCAGCCTCATGGAGCCAGGGCTGCAGAGCAGACACGGAACATGATCCTTCAACCGCGGGGTGCTCGATGTTCCTCCATGTATCTCAAAAGTATCGTTGTCTAGACCGGCCTTTCGGTCTATCAGCTGATGCCGACGAGGTCTTCTACGAACCCTGCCGAATTCTGCGAAGCGCCGCAGCCTTCCTCCTGTCTGTCCGCGGAGCACTTCCTCGGACAACAGACCGAGTCCTGGGTACAATATCTGATTCTCGGATTCGACATGAACCAGTGATAGTTTTCCTTCGCCCAGTCCAAGCCTCTCCTTCTCGGAGGTTCCCAACATTCTATCTCTTCAGTTTTGATGGGCAGAACAGCAGTCTGCTTTCCTTGATCCAGGTGCCCCAACACAACTTGGAGGGCCATCCCCTTATTCATTTATTTTACTCGATACAAGTCTCTCCCCGTCTGCTGAACTCTTTTCAATCCATTTTGAGGTCGCAACGGCGGCAGTTCCACCTCACACAACATGGCCCGCCGGTATCCCTTCTCCTCCATCTTGAGCCTCCTGCTCCTCCTCCTCTCGTTGGCTGCCGTGCAATCCCAGGCCGGAAAGCTACACCAAGAGCATGGGGAAGCACCGGTTCGCCGCTCGACAGACGGCGTCGTGTCTCTGAGCGGCAGCCTCTTCGAGACAGACAACGTCGTGCCAGGCGAGCAAGCCCATGCCGCAGCGAGACCTCGCCTCGTCCCGCGTCAGCTTCGAAACTCCACCACCAACGCCAACGCCACGATTAGCGAAGCGGAGCAGATCGTCCTCGCGGCGCAGGCCGAGGCCCGCGGAGCGCAACGCCCGGGCTCGTGCCCAATGTGCGGACGAAACCGCTACGAGTTCCACTCGCCCACGCCGTCCAAGGGCCTCCTGTCGTCCAGCGGCGACGACAACGCCACGGGCGTCAACGAGACGGTGGCCGAGGCGGCGGCCGTGCTGACCGAGGTCATGATCCAAAACGGCACGCTCAGCGTCGACGACGAGTCTGCTGCGTCCGACGGCCCGCTGCAGGCCCGTCAGTCGGGTACCTGGTGGCTCGAGGGCATGACGCAAAACGGCCTGTCGCCCTTTGCGCCGTCGGGGTACAAGGTGTGGCGCAACGTCAAGGACTACGGCGCCAAGGGAGACGGCGTGACGGATGACACGGCCGCCATCAACAAGGCCGTCTCGGACCAGAACCGGTGCGGTCTCGACTGCGGCAGCACTACGACGCTGCAGGCTGTGGTGTACTTTCCTCCGGGCACGTACATTATCAGTGGAAGCATCATTCAGTACTATCACACGCAGTTCATCGGACATGTAAGTGGGCTCGGGGGACCGGGATGTCCTTCTGGGTGGATGAACGTTTGGCTGACCTGTGAACTAGCCGACGAATCGCCCCGTGCTGAAGGCGTCGCCGGCCTTTGTTGGTCTTGGCATGATCTCTTCTGATGTCTATGTTGAGGGTGGAGAGGGAGCCCAGTGGTACATCAACCAGGTGCGTTTGACGTGTTGACACTTGCTGTACACCGTTTTGGGCCTCATGTTGCTAATTCCCATGGTTCTGCAGAGCAATTTCCTTCGCCAAGTGAGAAACTTTGTGCTGGATATGACATCCGCCCCTCTCCAAGCATATGTTGCCGCCATCCATTGGTACGTCTTGCACAGCACATAGTTCGTGAGATTTCAATGAGGCTGTTGTACTAACATGTAGACTTCCTAGGCAAGTCGCCCAGGCCACATCCCTCCAGAACATCAAGTTCGTCATGTCCACCGTCGCTGGTAACAACCAGCAGGGCATGTTCATGGAGAACGGCAGCGGTGGCTTCATGAGCGATCTGGAGTTTGTCGGCGGCGCCCTCGGCATGTACGTCGGCAACCAGCAGTTCTCCGTGCGCAACCTTAAGTTCTCCAACCACCTGTCCAAGGCCATCGAGATCCACTGGGACTGGGGCTGGACCTGGAAGGGCGTCGAAATCTCCAACTGCCCCGTCGGTATCGTCATGGTGTCGCCCGACGCGACAACAAAGGTCGGCTCGGCCATCTTCATCGACAGCAAGATCACAAACTGCCCCGTGGGTCTCCAGCTGCAGAAGCCGGCCGCCAAGGCCGCCATCTCGCTGTCTCTCTTCTCCGTCACCACGAGCAACGTGCCCGCCATCGTCAAGTACGTCGACGGCGCCACGCTGCTCGCCGGCTCGACGGGCACCAGCACCGTGGCCGCCTGGGGCGTCGGCAAGCGGTACGACACGCAGAACGGCGAGGCGTCGGGCGTCCAGCAGTCGGGCGCGTACCCTCGCGCGCCCGTCATCTCGGGCGGCCTTCTCAAGAACCCCAGCAGCCAGACGTCCGGGTTCTTCGACCGTTCCAAGCCCCAGTATGAGTCGAGGCCTGCCAGTGACTTTGTCAACATCAAGCTCGCGCCCTACAACGCCAAGGGCGACGGCAAGACGGACGACACGGCCGCCCTGAACTCGGCGCTG